GAATGCCCATGCAGGAGGAGCTGTCACCTTGGCAGGGTCATGTGGGTCCAGCCTGGAGAGCACATGGGGACAGGGGACCTGTCTGGGCTGCTCTGGGGCATCCCAGAGCTCTCTGGGGTCAGATTGGCCCCAGGACAGGAAAGTTCTGTATCAAACTTTCTGCAGCAGGGACCTAGTAGGGACAGAGAGTGGCTGGTGCCCCAGTAATGCCCATGCAGGAGGTGCCACCTTGGCAGGACAATGTGGATCCAGCTTGGAGAGATCACGGGGCATCCCAGAGCTCTCTGGGCTGAAACTGGGGGTGGAAAAGTTCATATAAACCTTCTGCAGCAGGGACCTAGTAGGGACAGAGGGTGGCTGGTGCCCCAGGAATGTTCATGCAGGAGGAGCTGTCACCTTGGGACAGGGTGGGTCCAACTTGGAGAGCTCATAGGGACCTGTCTGGGCTGTTCTGGGGCATCCCAGAGCTCTCTGGGGTCAGATTGGCCCCAGGACAGGAAAGTTCTGTATCAAACCTTCTGCAGCAGGGACCTAGTAGGGACAGAGGGTGCCTGGTGCCCCAGGAATGCCCATGCAGGAGGTGTCACCTTGGCAGGACAATGTGGATCCAGCTTGGAGAGATCACGGGGCATCCCAGAGCTCTCTGGGCTGAAACTGGGGGTGGAAACGTTCATATCAAACCTTCTGCAGCAGGGACTGAGTGGGGACAGAGGGTGCCTGGTGCCCCAGGAGTGTCCATGCAGGAGGAGGTGTCACCTTGGCAGGACAATGTGGGTCCAGCTTGGAGAGCTTATGGAGACCTGTCTGGGTGTTCTGGGGCCTCTCAGAGCTCTCTGGGGTCAGACGGGGAGTGGAAAAGTTCATATAAACCTTCTGTAGCAGGGACCTAGTAGGGACAGAGGGTGCCTGGTGCCCCAGGAATGTTCATGCAGGAGGAGCTGTCACCTTGGGACAGGGTGGGTCCAGCCTGGAGAGCTCATGGAGACCTGTCTGGGTGTTCTGGGGCATCCCAGAGCTCTCTGGGGTCAGACTGGCACAGAAAAGTCCCATATCAAACCTTCTGCAGCAGTGGGGACAGAGTGTGGCTGCTGCAGGGACCGAGGAGTCCCAGGAGCTGCGATGCCCCAGCAGGTGCAATGTGTAATTTTTGGTTCTAGTGAGGCCAAGACCTGTGAGAATGAAAAATAAAGATTGCTGAGCAAACATAACCCTGGAGCAGAGATAAGCAGCGTGCAGGGTGAAGGGCAGCCTGGTCCTTATCTGCCTCCTGCTCTTGCTCATCCTGGGGAGTTTTCACCCTCGGAGGGAAGGTGGACAGCAGGACAAACAGCCTGATGAATTTTGGGTTTTTCTGTGCATCAGCATCTTTATGTCTCAGTCAAGATGAGTTTCAGCAGACCTGCAGTTCTGCACCGTCTCAGGCCATCACTGGCACTTTTGGCAAACCTTTTTGGCTGAAACAGTTAAGAAAAATTTAAGCAGAGAAAAGTTTTCAGATGAATTTTAGGCATCACGTAAGGTTTTGCTGGACGGTATTTTTTTTTACTATCTCCTGGAATGTATTTTGGTCCCTCAGAACCTCAAGCTGTATTTTTACCACCTTTCTGCCCAGACAAGGCTGAGATGGTATTTTTTCACAGACATGAGGCTGCCTGAGAGGACATTTGGGGGGACAGGCAGGCCCTGTGGTGACACTGTGACATGAGGAGAGCGTGTTAACTGCACTGTAAATCATTTAGCTAAAACAAACAATTTATAGAAAGCCAGAATAAAAGCACGAGGAAGCAAAGAAAAAATTCCTGTTGGAAAAAAAAAATCCAAACACCTCAAAGAACAAAAAAAAATCCCAAAGCCAGTGGAATCCTTCAGAGGATAAAACCTTTCCATCAGAGTTCTCCCTTCSTGCAGCACCTCCTGTAACTCAGTGCTGCAGGTTTTCATCATCCCTGAGTTTACAAGAGGGAKTTGAAGGTCTGTAATTCCATCTCAGAGTTTGCCCAGGCTGTTTCCTGTGGCACCTGGACCCACCTGCACCCAGAGCAGCAGCTCGAGGTGTGACAGCGCTGGCAAATCAASCCAGCACAAACATCCTTGTGCAATAAGTGCAAAATTTGAGGTGTGGCTGCACAGATTACGTGGAGGTGGAATAAATCATGCAAATCCTAATGAAAGTTGAAAGCAATTGGGTTGCACTTCAATCCGTTTCATCAGTCATCTCTCTTCTGAAGTGGAAATGCCGAGCCTGTTGCAAATTCAACTTTCTCCCTCCTCCCTTTCCTGTCTTTCCTGCAGCTTTTTAAAAACCCTTTTGAAAACTTGTGAACACCTTTCTTGGCTGAGCAGATTCTTCCCCTCTCTGCCTTTTTTAACCTCCGAACTCTCAGCCAAGACAGAGATATAACTTTTTAGAAGTCCTGGGTTTGATTTGTATCCCATGGGTTTGATTTGTGTCCCATGGGTTTGATTTGTATCCCATGGGTCTGATTTGTATCCCCAATTCCTCTCTTGGCCCTTCCTTCTCTCCCTCCAGGCCAAGGACTGATGGAAAGTGGAAGAGCTGCTGAAATATTTGGGTGTTAAGGGCCACCACTCTTAGTGGTCACTTTTCTGCTGCAGGATCAGCTGTCAGCCAGGGCAGGGGTGGGGAAAACATCAGATTTCCAAAATTAGGAGCTGCCTATGCCAAAACCAAGAGTTCTGCTCCATCCAGGCTGCTCCTGCCTGTGTTTGTGTGGTGTTTTTGAGTTGCTAAAGCACAGCTCTCCCCTCTTTTGTCTTGCAGGTAGAGGATGCCATGCTCATGTTCGACAAGACGACCAACAGGCATAGAGGTAAGGGGTGCTCTGAGTAAAACCCAGGCTCAGTGTGATGGCTTTAATCCATGGCTCTGAATCCCTGTGTCCTGCAGGGGAAGGGCTGCTTGCCATGGAATGCCCCATGCACGTGGATTTTGTTGTTAGGAGGGGTCAGTGTGATGGATTTGCTTTGGGAGGGCACTGCCAAGCTCTCTGGAGAGGGTGGATCCGTGGAGCTGCCTGTGCTGAGGCTGCTGGGGAGCAGCAGGGTTGTACCAGGGTGGCTGCCATTGGTTAAGATGGGCATTTATGCCATCATTTATGCCATTTCAGCCAGYTTAGCTGAAATAGAGGAAATGAAGGTGCTAAACCCCAGCACTGTGTGGAGTTGTGAGGCTCAGGGCTGCTGGTGCTCCATGCTGGCAATTCTGAACAAGCAGGATCTCCAGCAGAGGAATTTCCTGCACACATTTCACAGGAGAGGTGAGGTTCCATCACTGTTTTTACAGCTCTGTGGAACTGAGGGTCACTGTCCCTGTTCTGGCCATTCCTTTCAGTGGCAATAAATGGTGCTGCTGTCACAGAGCCATTCCTGTGCCCACTGCAGCCCAGCTCTGGCACCAAACAGCTCAGGATGGGCACCAGGCCCTGCTCCCTGCATTGGAATGGGAATTGAATGGGAATGGGAATGGGACTGGGAATGGGAATGGGAATGGGAATGGGAATGGGAATGGGAATGGGAATGGGAATGGGAATGGGATTGGGATGGGGATGGGCACAGGGATGGGATGGGATGGGCACCAGGCTCTGCTCCCTGCCCTGGGAATGGGGATGGGAATGGGATTGGGATGGGGATGGGAATGGGAATGGTATTGGGATGGGACGGGGATGGGATGGGATGGCTTGGGATGGGCCCCAGGCCCTGCTCCCTGCCCTGGGATGGGGATGGGAGTGGGATTGGGATTGGGATTAGGATTAGGATGGGGATGGGGATGGGAATGGGAATGGGAATGGGAATGGGAATGGGATTGGGATGGGGATGGGAATGGGAATGGGAATAGGAATGGGATGGCTTGGGACAGGCCCCAGGCCCTGCTCTCTGCCCTGGGATGGGATTGGGATTGGGATTGGGATT